GCACGATCAAGTGTAGTATATGTTCCCCCGCCCATGAACCCACCAACCCTTCAGTCTCAACAGGTCTCTCGGAGGTAACTCCCGTGCAAATGTAGAAAGCAAAAGAACAAAAGAGAAAAGAAAGACAGTTTCTCCAAGGCTTTCTGACCTCCAGCAGCAATTCATCCACTGTGTCAAGAGGAGTACACAGGTGAGCGAAATCTCCCCTCCCCTCCCCCCCACCGGCCCCGCCACCCCACAAATCCCCCCTTTGACGTTTTTGCTTTTTGCCCTCCATTTTTTTTGCGAGCGAAGCCGCAACAGGTACCCTTGTATGTCATAGAAGACATTATTCTGAACTACTTTTGCCTCAGACCGGAAGCGAAATTCGAAACCAATTTTGAGATGAAAAATAAAAATAAAAAATGAGAAAAAAAGGGAAAAAAGCTGTTTCGTACGTGCGTACAAACACGTTCAAAAATAAATTGATGCGTAGTACGGGGGGCGTACGACGCATGTCCGCGTACATCGCGTACAAAGTGATGCCCAGATCTCCGTTACCTTTCCACTAACCTACTCCCTCCTTTCTATGGACCTTAATTGTTCCCATTCTTTGCTCTTGGAACCTCCACCCCGAAATGATGCTCCCCACCTCTCTCGAGTCCCTCCCTTTGTCAACTCGACCATTGCCCTTCTTTGCACCTCGCTCCCTCCCCTGAAGCTCTTCCCTCACTTCTATGACCCCTTTATAATATGACCCCTTTATAATATGGGCCACCGCCATGTCAGACTGCTCCGTCATGTTCTCCAAGGGTCCTCTTTTGCTCTCCTGGCTGTCTCACAATTCTCTTCTCTGGCACCTCTAAAAACCTCCTCCTCCCTGGAGGCAGAGATATGGAAATGAGGTGGATGGGCGAAGAATGTGTGTGAGAGAGAGGAGCACAGCTTTTTGCGATCGACGTGGGAGACGTGACATAGAACCGTTCTGGAAGATAGAAGCAATAGCCACACAGGTCCTAGCGATTTGGTGTATGTATGCAAGGATTCTGAAGAACAGAGGTATATGAGCTATTGATTTTCAACTTGAGTTCTCATTGTGAATGTCTAATGTTTATGTTGCGTTGGCTGTCACCACCTTTTGCTGTGTGCCGATTCCTTGCAGGGTGACCTTGAAGAGGTTGCAGAACTGTTCTTGGATGCCAGAGCATCAGCACGCCTGCTCGCGGATCAATCTGATCGATATGTGTCGCAATAGCACTTGCCTCAGTGCAGATGTACACCCTTATATTTACATGAACCCCCTTAGGAAGAAGATCAGGATTGCAGCCTCCAGAATACGTCCAGGAAAAATGTTGCCCTACGTGTCAGATCTGCAACGGTGGCAAGCTGCCAGCAACTCTTTTGATCCTTCCTTCCTTCACTTCCTTCCCTTCCTTCCTTCTCTCTCTCTCTCTCTCTCTCTCTCTCTCTCTCTCTCTCTCTCTCTCTCTCTCTCTCTCTCTCTCTCTCTCTCTCTCACACACACACACAC